AAGTTAAACAGGTTAGCCGAGAGCTAATCAAATAACATCCTGATATTTATCAGGGAAAACATCTTTCACTGAAAAGGAAAACTTCCACCTTAACAATGAGAAAAAATAACCTCTCTTTGGCCGATTACCTTTTTTTCAATAAAAAAAGGACGAAAAGCTCACACCAGAATCGTTTTCAGTACGCTTTCGTGTATATTCCGGCCTGCTGTGTAAAAACTCCGCTTGACGTTACGGTCACGCAACAAGAATTGTTTACTCAGCCGTTGTAAAAAATTTGAATGAATTACTGTCATTTCAAAACCTTCGCGTGAGGCGCTGTAAAGAAAACCCATGCTGATTCTAACATATTAATAAGGACAACCTTAAATCCCTCTAATGACATAGTTAAAAGGAAAATCTGAATTATACCACAGTGAAAAAAAACATTTGAATTAAGGAGGTATTTGCGGGATTTTTCACGTTTGAAAATACAGCACTTTCCTGCGCGTTGTTTGCTATTTATGAACAACAATAAAGATAAGTCATGTAGTTTCTGGGAAATTACGGCACTCACTCTATCAAAATTCGGTGTCATGATCCTTTGAATCGTTTTTCCTTGAAGACCAAAAGTCAGTTTAAAATATCAATCTCACACTTGCTTGCGGGACCTTTCGGGATCGTCGCGGGTCAAATTCGTTTTTCTCAGTTTTCTCAGAAGTAAAGCGCTCCGGAAGAAAAAGAAATACATTTAATTTCTTCTATTCTTAGTAGGTTTTTATAGTCAGAAAATAAGCGAAATTCATTATTCAACTCTTGCCACTTAGTGGTGGATATTTCCTGACCGTCGCTCTTAACAATATTATCTGCTCGCCGCATTATAAGCGTCTGTCCCCTCCTTAGTGGCCAGTTTCTTTTCCCTTTCTAAATAAATAAACCACAGGTGAAAGTAGGTGAGATGAAAAAAACAACTTAACGGTTTCCGTTTCAGACACTACGCCGACCTTTTATTTCAAATTACCCTACATTGGCCCTTTTCCTGTTGTCACGCAAAAAAGGGTTCGCCACTTTGTTGAGATTCATTGTTATAACATAGATATTAAGTGTTTTTTTTCATCTTTTAAAATAGGTAATATGTTTGGTGTGAAAGACCCTTTCCCTCGAGGGCTCCGTACGTGTGTGGTTTACAAATTTGTTAGTGCAGGCTGTTATGTCGGCTAAACCTCACGGCACTTATCGACACGCGTGCGTGAGCATGTGGTCTGTGATAGAACCTCTCGCATTTTCAGACATTTGCAAAATTTTCAACAATTTGGTACTCTATATTGTGATGAGTGGTTTAGCATTTTAGATAACGTTTCCACAACTCTCTAACTTAAAATCGAAGAAGTTATTCACATTCAGGGAGGACAAGCTACACTTAATCATCAACTTTATCATGTTAATTTGAAACTTTCCTTGTAATTGCATACATTGTTCTGTTTCTATCGTTTGTTTTGTCCAATCAGCATTTTGTTATACACTGCAAATTCAAATTTGTACTTTGTATAAAGCAAAACTGAAGATGACAGAAAAACTGTCGAAGCATGTTTTTAAAAATGTCATATATTTTCTTAAACCAACTGTCCTGTTTTGCATGACAGTGAGGCGATTTTCGCAAATCGGTCGACCAAAGAATTGCAGTTTGAAATAATGGCCTTTCACGAAAATCGCTTTTAATGTGCCAATATTATGGGGAAATCACGTGAAACAGTTTTAGATGGCCTCCAAGAATCCTCCGTATATTTTCTTTAAGATGAGAAAAGTAAGAGCGCAAAAAAACAGAGTGCGAGTGAAAGAAGCTATAAGCTGTAACCTGATAAAATTGGAAAAATTACGACGTACGAAGAAAGTTTGAGAGAGGTATTTAGGAAGCTAAACCAAGAAATTTAACCTCTTGCTTATTATTAAGGTGGATGAATGTTATTTTCTTAATTCCTACCAGCTATATTCAAAGCACTTAAAAAGAATCAAACCTCCATGGGTCCCATAGCTATCGGGATTTGCCACTTAATTTAATGACATTTTGTGCGTACTTCAGCACACTTACAGCGTAAAACCTTTCATTTTTTAACACGTGCACTGCTTCTTGTGTTAACACTAGATTTGTATGTAACGATTTTCTTCCAAAACTATGCTACGGACTTACAAATGAGCAGTTTTAGAGCCATTTTTAATCGGTAATACCGTCAGTAAAATTATACCCCTCAGTATATGTTTTCTATCGAGTTAAAATGGCGGCATTTTTGAAATTCCCATAGCTTGTTTTCATTTTCGCAGGGATAAGCCCAAACCAAAACATCTAAGGTTGCCGTTTTCAAGAAAGTTTCTTTCGAAACCTCATCTGCCACATATCTCACTGGACGAAAAACGTATTGTGGTAACAGGTGTGAATTTAGTAACTGAAGTTGAGTAGCCGTAACATGGTTACGAACTTCGTCGCACCTGTTATCGCTTTGGCGATTCTTGTCATCACCTCCTCAGTTGGCAAACCCCCTGGAGAAAAGAAGCTTGTTTTCTCGGCTGAATTGTAGCCCTGTACACTCAAATGGCTCGAGAAGCGGAGCATGTGCACTCATTATTCCGCTGTGTCATTGCCGAGTGCATGTACCGAGTCATGCGCAATGTCAAACTTTGAAAAGCAGAAAATAGTTGCATACAAAGTTAGTTCCTTTCTGTAATTACGTGACACGAATGAGTGACGAATTGCGACGTCATCTATGCATCAGTCCTTCATTTGATCACATGTAAGCAGCAATTAAATGCCAGTAGAGGTTAGTGTATCATTCCACTTCACCTTGTAAATGCAGTATTTGTTCTAGGCTACAACCAACCATTATTTCAGGCTTCTCATTATCACTTTTTGTCCTTTCAAATTATTTTGAATTCATCTCAATACTTAACTTAATTTTGCTTGCTATACACTTTCATTTCAAAAATATCCCCAAAAAAATCCTCGACCAATTTACAAATTGTTTAGTCACTGATAATGGTTGTGACCAGGTTTGTAACAAGAAGTTGAATAATTATTAGAAATTTTTACGCTATTCATGTTGTTGACATCAATCTAAGAGCCCCATGATGTGGTCGAAATAGACGAGCTGCTAGGTGAAACAACGAACGATACAATTACCCTAAAGTGGAAGGAGCCAGAAAGTAATGGAAAAGTTATTACCATATGAGGTTCTTTTACGGACAAAATATCGAATATGGATACATTAATGTTTTGTTCAATTACGTTATTGTTATGCGTTATAATACAAGTCTTAAAATAAAATAAATCAATTTCATCCGGAATACATCGATTTTGGATGTCATACATCGATGTTGTGCAGCATACAATCTTTGCTGACTCATTCGCGCGTGACCTTATATAACTAAAAGATGTTCCATAAAACTAAAAGATGAGGAAGCGGAAATAGAAATGACCGGAAGTCAGATTAAATAAGAGGCCTGAGAACTAACACTTTCAAAATGGCGGAAATAGAGGCAAATCAATCGAAATCGAAATAGACGAGCTGCTAGGTGAAACAACGAACGATACAATTACCCTAAAGTGGAAGGAGCCAGAAAGTAATGGAAAAGTTATTACCATATGAGGTTCTTTTACGGACAAAATATCGAACATGGATACATTAATGTTTTGTTCAATTACGTTATTGTTATGCGTTATAATACAAGTCTTAAAATAAAATAAATCAGTTTCATCTGGAATACATCGATTTTGGATGTCATACATCGATGTTGTGTAATGGAAAAAATTCCCGACAACTCCTGGGATATGGAAAATTATCAATTGTATTTGGTTGAAAGAAATTGACAACGATTCAAGCGTCAATGCTTCTTCTTTCTTGTTCAATGGTGAAAAACTTATCAACTTTTCAGCAACTCCTGCAACAGATGCAGAATTCGTATGGGGATATTACGCAAAAATGGTTCGAGATTGTTTTCATGAAAGACTGCTCTCAGGCTGTCATACTCTTCTCAGTTACAAACACACTGTTTTGACAGAAGAATAAATCAAGGCAAATCGTGACCTCTTTGCGAGAAGATAAAACGATTATATTTGAAAAATCGTCTCACGAACCATTAACACCCTGATGGCGTGACAAGAGGATCATTCAAGAGAATCGTTCAAGAAGATCATTTGAGATTATAATATTCACACCCTCTTCAGAACTCACTCGTGAGTTGTGAAGAGGGTGTGAATATTATACACCCGTGAATAATTGCCTTGAAATCAAGGTTGTCTACAACCTCTATCAAATATCGCTTCATTTGAGGGTAACCACATGCGAAATTGTGCTTTGACTATTCAAAAGGTGGGCATAGTTTGATGCTACTCTGGTTTGCAGATTTAATGAATGTAACCGAAGAAGTTACAATTCATAGACCCAACATTTCGACACTCCTGTCTAGTGCCTTCATCAGGGGTGATCTAAACGCTTCAACAAGAGGTCCTTTTATATGATCACTAATTAGCGGCCTTTTTTTTTTTTTTTCTGACGAGGTGTAAATAGGCGTCAGGAAGCAAACCGCCATTGTCACGATTTAAAGGAGCGTGGGCGGAGCTAATATGCCAAGCCTCCAAACAAAGGCGCTGGTGGTAACGCCGATAAGTGGTGATAATTTTAGAATTATCCCACCCAATTGTATGGTTAGTTAGGCAGGTATGCCCCGATAAAGTTGAATTTTCCTTTTTGCAAAGGAAAACCGCTTTTTGGTGCTCTTTTAACCGTGTACCAAACTGACGTTTGGTCTGTCCGATGTATTCGTTGTCACAGTCATTGCAAGGAATAGAATAAATGGCGTCGGTTCGTTGTTCTTTCGTGACAGGATCCTTAGGTTTGGTGAAAATATGCCCCAAAGTCTGTAAAGGTTTTTGAGCAACTTTAACGTTGTGGCTATTCAAAATTCTCTTGGTGGGTTCCGTAACACCCTGTATGTAAGGAATAACAGCAAAACCAGTCGCTGGTTCCCTTTCATCAACTGGTTTTTTGGCAGTTACGGAGAAAAGTTTTTGTATAGCCATTTGCCTCTAGGACATTGGAAACATATTTCCTTTCCTCAGCCTTCGAATCGAGTGAAGATGGTAGACATTCAGCTCTCCTAAGTAAAGTTTTGGCTACAGACTTTTTATGGCAAATAGGGTGGTGAGAATCGAAGGCGAGGTATTTGTCGGTGTGGGTAGGTTTACGGTAGACACTTGTCTCTAAATTACCCTGCACCCCTCTGGACACATTTAAATCAAGAAAGGGCAAATGTTTATCCTTTTCACGCTCGAGGGTGAATTGGATCGACGGCTCTACTGAATTCAAATGCGACAAGAGGCGCTCCGCTTCATTTCTGGATACCGCAGAAATAACATCATCGACATATCGTTTCCAGAAAAAGGGTTTAACCGATGAAGTGGCTAAGGCCCTTTGTTCCAAGTCTTCCATTACCATGTTAGCAATGACAGCAGAGACGGGCGAACCCATCGCTGTACCAAAAACTTGTTGATAGTAGGTGCCGTTATATGTAAATTGCGTGGTTTTGAGGCAAAAGGCAGCAGATGAATAATATCCTCCACAGGCAAAGAAGGTCTTTGTCCCAGGAAAGCATCTTCTCTGAGTCTCTCCTCCGCAACCTTAACGGCAAGATCAACTGGGATTTTAGTGAAGAGCGAAACAACGTCGAAAGATACTAGTTCTTCACAAACGTTAAGAGTTTTATCTCTTATGAAATCCGCAAATTCGCAGGAATTTTCAATAATAAGGATTTTAAGTCTCTCATGATAATGACACGTGTTTTTAGGCTCCTGACTTTTTATTGCGTTTTAACTCTTACTGACTGCTTTCTTCTAAAATGTTTCTACCGAATCGATCATACTACTTGGTGCGATGGTTTGGACTGTCCAGTTCAACATTACAACGCTTCGCCTGTCCTGTTGAAGAGAGAGGATTCTGGCCAAATCGATTCGGGTAGCCGCCATATTGAGCATATTGCGGGAATACGGAACCCACGAAGGCATATATTTTCCAAATCTAGACACAGATATTATCAAAATGCGAATTCCACGTTTCAGTGTCAGAGGCTGTTAAAGTGTAGTGATATTAATCCTAATCCAGGCCCCACGAAGTATCCATGTGCTTGTTGTGAGAGGTAAGAACAATCAGCGAGCCTTACAATGCGACGGTTGCAACTCGTGGTGCCATGCTAAATGTACTCGTGTTTCTCAGGACGAATACAACCGGTTATCAAGTACTGATGATACCTGGTACTGCAATGCCTGTACTTTTAAATGGCTTTCAGACTCATTCTTTTCTGATTCAACCGAGGACTCGCTTAACAATTCGAACTCTACGAACTCTGACACCTCTGAACCCAATGTCATTGCTGACTACAAGGCCAGTATCGCGGCTTACTACAAGTTTAACCTGTCAATCGCTCATCAAAATATCAACAGTCTTCAAAACAAAATGGACAAAATAAGGGTTCTACTGAATCAGGAGCTATTTGACATCTTAGTTCTAACTGAAACAAAGATTGACTCCAGCTACAACAACTCGCTTTTTCAACATCCTTTGTACAGGATAATTAGACGCGACAGGAAAAAGGGCGGCGGTGGCATAATGGTTTACATCAAACATAGCGTCTCTGCTTACAGACGCAGGAAGCTAGAGCCTGTGGATATCGAAGCTGTTTGCATCGATGTAAAGGGTGAGGGAAATACCTGGTTTTCTCTTCTCGCCTGTTACAGATATTCAAACAAAAATAAACCGACGGAATTTTTGTCAACTCTCTATTCTACGACCGAAAATCTGTACAATCACCGTAATGAATTACTCATTATTGGTGACTTAAAGTTCAACATGCTCAACAATGATAGCTGTTCTCCTGACAACCGGCTATCTGAATACTGTGACCGTTTTCAACTAACAAACATTGTAACTGTGCCTACTCGAATAACGGATACATCGAGTACACTTCTTGATGTTATACTGACAACTCATCCGCAACGATTCTGCTATACTACGACCTTACAACTCGGTATCAGTGATCATGACATCGTTGTCAAAATTCGTAAGTGGAAGCTTCCTAAACCTCCACCAAAGCTCATTAGTTATCTTTCGATGAAACGGTTCGACACTGATATTTTTCTCCAGGATCTAAACAGTGTCCCCCGGGACTGTGCGTTTATTCACGATGATATCAACGACATTTGGGCGACCTGGTATAAATTATTCACTTTACGCGGCAATGCTGTGTCATAGATGACTCCAAAAATTATCCAGGCTATAAACACTAGAAATCGTCTCCACAGAAGGTTTACTAAGAAGAAAACATCTGAAAATTGGGAGACCTACAGGAAACAACGGAACCTTGTCACATCCTTAAAACGTTCTTTCCCTCAAGTCATACTGCATTAATGTATCCACAAACTCCGAACACCCCGGGGGATTTTGGAAGAAATTTCATTGTTTACTCCCAAGTAAAGACAGAGGTAACAGCCATGTTCAGCTGATTGAAGACGGGCGCCTCATCACTGATAGTACTGATATCGCCAATCTTCTAAATAATTATTTCATTAATGCAGTACCTAGACCGGCTAGCCACATGCCCAACTTACAGTCAGAAGAGTTCAAGACACATCCAAGTGTTGTATCCATTGGACGGAAGTTTGAAAGACAAACGAGCTTCTCATTTACTCCTGTTCAGGACTCCTATATCAAAAGGATACTTTCTACTATCAAAATCAACAAAGCCACCGGTGCTGACGGAATCTCCCCACACCTGCTGAAACTTGCTGGGCCAAGAATTTTCAGTTCTCTAACAAAATTAATCAACCAGTGCATTGTTAGTGGCTCCTGGCCTACAGATTGGAAAACCTCTATTGTCTCCCCGATCTATAAAAAAGGTACTGAGACTTTAAAATCTAATTACCGTCCTGTATCTGTATTATCGGCTGTTTCAAAGGTAGCGGAAAGAGTTATCTTTGATCAGTTATATGAGTTTTCTCTTGACTTTCTCAGCGGGAATTTGTCTGGTTTCTTGAAAGGACACTCATGTACGACAGCCCTTCTCAAGACATTCGAAGACATTAGAAAAAAATTAGACTCTAGCGAACACTCTGCAGCAATTACCATAGATCTCTCCAAAGCATTTGACTCTATCAATCATGATTTGCTTCTTGCAAAGCTGTCAGCTTATGGTGTAACTAAAGACGCCTTTAACTTCTACGTTCTTACTTGACTGACCGTAAGAAACATGTCAAGACTGACGGTATTTTGTTGGATTGGCAAATTATGAGGTGAGGAGTTCCTCAAGGCTCAGTCTTGGGCCCCCTTCTCTTCAATTTATATATGAACGATGTGAATTTTTCAGATATTTCGTGCTCTTTAAGATTTTATGCCGATGACACTACTGGGTACTCTTCAAACCTTTGTCCATCTACCTTGCAAATAAATCTACAAAACAACGTTGGTCTACTCGCTTCCTGGTTTTGTGAAAACTTTCTGGCGATCAATCATAGTAAATCTCAATCCATTGTTTTCAACAGAGCAACTTTACCAACGCCCTTTGTTATTGACAGTAATGAACTGGATTACGTTACACATATCAAGCTTCTTGGAGTAGTCATTGACAATTCACTATCTTTCAACGTACACATTAAAGAGGTTTGCCGGAAAGTGAACACAAAAGTTTCAATTCTCCGTCGCATTCGTAAATTTATACCCTCAGATGTGATGATTAAATTGTACAAAGCTTTCATTCTCCCTCACTTCGAATATGCATCACCACTGTTTATTGGTCTAAGTAAGGGTCTGTCTGCGAAACTGGAGTCAACCAACGCATTCGCTCTGAGGACTCTTCTCAATTATTCTAAATCGACTGCTTACGGAGAGTTATTGAAAACTGCAAATATTAAAAGTTTAGAACATCGACGCATAGAAAAAGCACTTATACTTGTATATAAAGGTATTCATAACCAGACACCGAACTACATTCAGGAAATGTTTTCTCTGCGAAGTAATGGTTACAGCCTACGTGGCCATCTTAAGATTGTTCTTCCAAGACCAACCTCATCTTATATGCAACATTCTTTTACGTACCAGGCTAGCAAACAATGGAGCAATCTGACAGACAAAATAAGGATGTCGGAATCCCTTTCTATATTTAGGAAAAAATTTGCAAGACATACAGTTGTCCTCATCGTATGACTGCAGCTGTTTGTTTTGCAAACAAATAGTCTAGTCACCGATATTCCCTTTTATTAAATTATTGATTACTTTAATAGCAATTATTCATTCTAGATAATTAATTTTTATTTCTTACCTATTACTCATTACTTATACATGTAAATTATGTCAATTTTTATGGCACATTTGCATTTAAACGAGCTATTCGCTCATATGCGATATGTGGTTAAATAAAGTTACTTACTACTTGCTTACAGTGTAATCAGTATTCCCAACAACTGGCGACAAAATTCTCGCAAGATAACCAGAAATTGCATAAGTCGGAGAATTAACAAAAGAGACAATGGGTCTCAAAGGAATTCCCGGTTTATGAATTTTAGGTAAGCCGTAAAAACGTGGGCATAAGCCGTTACTACTGTATAACATTCTGTACGTAGAGTCACTAATTTTACCAGCTTTTTTCAAATCAAGCAACAATTTTTTTAACTTTCTTTAAGTTTTACAGTTAGGATCAGAATTTAAGACAGCATACGTACTCTTGTCATTAAGCAGAGACAAAGCTTTGTCGTGATATTGCTGTTTGTCCATAACCACAACGCAATTACCCTTGTCAGCAGATAATACGAGCCTGTCCGGATCCTTTTTGAGAGCTATAAGCGTATTGAAAACATCCTTTTGAATGTTTTTGGGAGGAGGTTTAGCACGCCTGAGTATGCTACTTACTTCTGCTCTTACCAAATGCCTACGATCGTCGTTGAGTTGAGAGATACTCTCCTCAACAGCGGCGACAATTCAGCAGTCGGTATTTTGCGAGGAGCAATAGCAAACTTCAGACCCTTCTCTAAACCACTCCGTTCCAGCGTGGATAACTCCTTGGAGGAAAGGTTCATGACCCATATATCTTTCAGAGATGAGCCTGAATTAACAGGAGACCTCTTACTGAGCAAGTGACGGAGTTATCTGTCGTGTTTCTCTCTCTGTTTGGTAAACGTCTGCAGTTCGAAAGAACTGCAGAACTCCTCGACCCTGGAAGTTTCGGAGTTGTTAATCAAAGCAGAGAGTTCACTGAGTGAACGAGAGAATAACGCACGTAGACGCAGTATGGAACCGTGACATTCATCTATTCGTAGCTTAAGAAAAGAAAAACCAATACAGACCATGAGCTTGTATCCTTTAGCACTCCGTAAAGGAGGCCGACATCTCAAACTCGATGGAAGCATATAGTTTTCTATACAACGGTGATTGAAATACAAATGACAGCGATACTTAGCAATGCGGACTCTGATGTTCGCGAGCCG